AATTAGTTTTAAAAGAATTAATAGAAGCTGGGCTTGGTGGTATACATCTGTAACCAGCACTTTGGGTAGTTCAGACAGGGGATCGCAAGTTCCAGTCCTGCCTGGGTGACTTACCCAAGTCCTCGTCTTAAAATAAAATGGGCTGAACAATGTAGTCACTGGAAAAGCCCTAGGTTCAATCCTCAGGACCACAGAAACGAAAATAGAATTTAAAAATACAGTAAATCCCCAATTTACAAATATTCGAGTTGCGAACTTTCACAGGTATACTGTGTAAGACTCACTTTGTGGGATATGAAGGAATCCAACTTAGAGATGTTCTCCCGGGACAGAACTCGTTCATAATCAGAGCCTTGCTGTAGAAGAATTAGTATGTCTCCTGGAGGGCTTGTGTCTAAAAGCAGACAAGATGGTTTGGCTTAGTGAATTCCTTCCTTGAAAAAATGCATAGATTTTCAGGAGCCTCTGTCTCACCATGTATTATAGAGCATTTCTTTTTCATCTTCAGTCTCCAGTGCAGAGCGGAAATGTTCCCTAGGTTTTCCCAGAGGGATAGATTTCCAGGCAATGGAATGAAGCAGAGTTCAAAGTTGTGTTGAGCCTCTTCAGGTGGTGTCTATGTTGCCATCACCATCTCTTCCAGTCTTCCCGTTTCTTCCATTTGTTCCTTCAGCCCTCTGCTTCCTTTCAGCTCAGCGGTACGCCATGATAATAAAGAAACAGCCAGGGGGCTGGGATTTAGCTCAGTGGCACAGCGCCTGCCTAGCAAGTGCGAGGTCATGAGTTCAATTCCTGGTAGCGGGGAAAAAAAACAAAAAAATATAAAAAATTAAAAAAAGAATAAAGAAACAGCCACGTCCAACTAGAGTATGTGTATTTTAGCAGAATCATTCCTACAGTTATAAAATTATCTAAGGCAATGGAATTAAACCCCTCTTACCACTAAACCAAAGAATATAATCAAATGTTTATTTTCATGTTTTATGCATACAAGATATGTGTAACTTGCATGAATTTAAGGATATTTAAATCAGCTAACCTGAAGAAGAAATAATCACTCATAGTAACCTCAGTAAAAATACAGCCCTGGATGTCTCCTGAGAACACACACAACTGATATCCCCAACAGTGTTTTTACCAGAGAGCTTTATTTAAAGACAAATTGCATAAGGTCCTTGTAGCTGTCTTGTATGTCCGTATTCAGCCACAGCATCCCAAGGTTTTGCCGTGATGAAAGATACCATTCTTCCTCAGAATCCATTGTGCCTCCCCATTCTCCCAACGTCCACAGCATCCTCTCTCAGAAAACCAGCTGCTGCACACTCTTCAGGATTTTCAACCCAAAGTCAAACAGCTTGTATTGAGTTGATCACATTCACGATCCACCTCTTGGCCTGCTCCCTCCTTCACTTGACCCATTGCCATCATCTTGTGACTGTGTGCAATATTTGCATCCAAAGCTCCATTTTAATAGGATTGCATGCAATTAGGGCTCCGAGGCATTGTGTAATTCAAGCCTGGCCACATCTGCTCCAAAGCCAAGTTACTAGAGCTCGGAGTCACAGGCCAGGTCTCCCAAAGGAGGTGAAAGTCATTCTGATCTGTTCACCAAATTGCTGCCTCAAAGATTCTAGTATTCCCACAAGCAAGTTTTTCTGAGTGTTCATAGAACCGTGGTTATGATTCAGTCACTGTACTCCATAGTAAAGGAGGCCAAGCCACTGGACCGTTCTAACTCTCAGATGTATCTCAGTGGTGGAATACTTGCCTAGCACACACAAGGCCAGGATGTTCAATTCCCAGCACTGGAAATAAATAAATAAACAAACAAAATAAATTTAGAAGGGCCTTTGTCTTAGTCTAGCTACTATAGCAAAATACCTTAGACTGGAGAGTATTTTATAAACAGCAGAAATTTATTGCTTACAATTCTGGAGAGAGAAATCCAAGACTCGGTGTCTTCCCATGGTTTTCTGCTTTGAAGACGGCATCTTCTTGCTGCTATGCAAGACAGAAGAAACCAGATAACTTCCTTCAACCTGTTTTAGCGGGCAGCGGGGATTTAAATCCAGGGCCTTTCCACTGAGCTACATCCCCAGCCCTTTTTCCTTTTTTATTTTTAGGCCGGGTCTCAGCAAGTTGCCCAGGTTGCACTCAAACTTGCAGTTTTGGCCAGGCATGGTGGCGCATGCCTGTAATTACAGCACTCGGGAGGCTGAGGCAGGAGGATCGTTGAGAGTTTGAGACCAGCCTGGGCTACAAACTGAGCTCAAGGCTGGCCTGGGACTGCATAGCGAGACCCTCTCTCAAAAAGACAAAAAAAAAAGCTTGCAGTTTTCCTGCCTCTGCTCCCCAGAGTGCTGGGATTATAGGCATGGGCCACCACATCCCACTTCTCAACCTCTCATATAAGGCCACCCATAGCATAATACACAGTGGTAGAGCCCCCAAAGGCTTCACCTCTTCCTACTACCACAGTGAGTGTTAGGTTCCACCTTAAGAATTTTGGAGGAACACCAACATTCAAACCATAGCAGCCATCAGAACTAAGTTCATAGAGAAAATCAGTTAATCTAATGGATAGCTTCCTTCCTTTTTAAAGTAGAGCAAGAATCTAAAGACACAAAGTAATCTGTATACAAGCACTAGCATCAGATCTCTGAAGGGCCCTTCGCAGAGTCCCATATTGTTTCTCTGCGGAGGCTTAATTGTTCCGACTGAGCAAAGAGAATATTAGTAACTAAGGTAAAAGTATTAGGGCAAAAGTGAAGCATACAGGCTTTTAAGCCAGACCTGGCTCGAATTTTAAGTCTGCAGTTTTTTAGGTGTTAAGTTACGTTACAGCTTCAGCCTTGTTTCTTCATGTGAAAATAGGAATGATGATAATAATACATTTCTCCAGAAGTTTTTGCAAGAATTAAATGAGATCACATGTGGGGAACACTTGGCACCATGCCACATAAAACATTCATATTCAATAAAAGATGGGTGCTAAGTTTCCTTTTTTTTTTTTTAAGCTACAGGAAAGCTTTCACTTCTCACCTTGCTGTTTTTAAAAACTTGTCCAGGGACTGGGCCTATAGGTCAGTGGTAGAACATTTGTCTGCCAAGCAAAAAAGCCTTACATGCCATCCCCAATTAAAAAACAGACAGACAGGTCTGGGGGTATAGCTCAGCGGCACAGCGCCTCTTTGGCAAGCATGAAGTCGTGAGTTTGATTCCTAGTACCGCAAAAAAAAAATAAAAGAAAAGCAGACAAAAACCTGTCTAGATTGTCTTAGGACCCAACTTCACAATTTGTTACAAATTTGACTATCTTAGTGACATACAAGTTGTCTGTCAAACAGTCCTTCCATAGACTTATTGTCTGACCGTAGGGGAGGCACGAGGCCCAAGTGCAAGGTGTCGGCAAGGTTAGCGTCTTCTGAGGCCTGTCGCTCTACTCCGTCTTCTCGCTGCCTCCACGCGGCCATCGTACATCTACATTTCACCTTCTGTGAGGGCACCAGTCGGATTGGATCAGGCCCCACCCTCACGGTCTTACTTCAACTTACCTTTTTTAAATCTTTGTTTAATTGCCATTTTAAATGCCCTATCCTCCAAAATAGTCAAATTCTGAGTACTGGAATTTAAGTGTCAGCCTACGAATTTCAAAGGGACACAGTTCAGCCTGCGTTGTTGTCGTAAATAAGTTATTATAAAGTTATTATAAAGTTATTATAAATTTATTATAAATCATTATTTTCAGGAATAAGGACATGAGTAGAAAGCATGGTTGAGGTGTGCTTAGGTATCTTCTAACCGCTGAAATGCTACGGTTCTGCAGGGTCCTTCATATTTGACCCATATAGCAAATGCATGTATTGTGCACAAAAAAGAAGTCAAATCTGTCTCTATAAATTGATATCTGATATAAGAAAGAAGTGTGGTTTCTGGTGATAGGCTGCACATACCTTTAAAACTCATTGGTGTGCCAGATGTGGTGGCAGACACCTAGAATGCTAGCATTCTGGTAGCCTGAGGCAGGAAGATAACAAATTCAAGGCCAGGTTGGGCAATTCAGGGAGACCTCATCTAAAAAAATTAGTTAAGGCTAGAGATTGAGCTCATTGTGAATGCAATGCCCTGAGTTCAATCCCCAGTACTGCAAAATACATATATACTTGTTGAAAAATACCCACTTGTATCATTCATTGAGCTAGGAGTTAGGAAGATTTACTTGTATTCCATTGACATAGATAGACAAATAGTCAAATATTTAATCACTTGTGTGTGTTCAGGTCAGGCATTAGCGTAAAGGTTATGGGGAAACCTAGAGAAACTCCTGGGCAGCCTCGGAGAGCTACTTTATCTACTTGGGAAAACACCAGAAATGTCACAGTGTGAACTTATTTAATTGCTGGTAAATGCTCAGTATAGACAAGGGATGCTGTCTGTGTTCAGAGGACACAATTAACCTCTGGAGCCCAGTGTTGAGGTTTTGAATTTTTAACGGTTAACAGCCCTCATACTGGGAGAAAGGAAAGAGGTACAATTAAAAAGTAAAGGTAGCTTGCAACAAGATGGAGGACCAGTGGGAAGAGAGACAGAGGCCCGGGGAGAGGCACTCTATTAGTGGTGCGAAACGTGCTCTGAGCAGGGTCTCCCCAAGAAGAGCTTCAGAGTCCCACCTTCCCATGGTGTGAGATTAGGACCATGGCGTTCTACCCCCAAGGGGAGTTGAACTCTGAAACTTGTAGATGATGGTGTACTATTACTCCTGTGACTACTTACACCCACCATTGTGAAACACGAGTCAGGTGCCACCACGTACTCACGAGAGATCTTTCCTTAAGGGCTGTGCAAGGACAACCTTCACTGAACAGAGGAAAGACGTCACAGCTCTTTATTTCTTCCCCAGCCATGGAGACTATTTTATTCCTGTCCAGCAATAATGATGAATATGATTGATATATAACCTGAGAAGATTCCTTGTGTAAGATGTATCTTTATTCTTTTAGGCCTCTTTTTCGTGGAAGTTCAGATGTGGATCAACTAGGAAAAATCTTGGAGTAAGTAATAACTAAATCACTATCCTTAACACTGAAAACATTTCCAGTGACTTTCCTCTGATACTCATATAATACGTTTATCTCTTGTCTTTCTTACCCCAAGCTGCTGCTGCAGACAGTGTTACTGTTTGTGTGGTGAGTGGAGACGGTGCCCGTCATGGAAGTGTGGCCTGACTGCTGCTCTGGAAGCTGTGTGTTGCTTGTGTGAACCTTTTTTGCTGTTCCTCTTTCTTTGCTTGGCTGAGCTCCAGCTCTTTAATGTGCAGATGTGTCGTCTACTTAGGGTCTTTCAAATGCCCCCTTCATCAGAGGTGGGGCATTTGGTGGCCTAGAAACCTGTACTTGTCTAGTAAGTTTCCTGTCCCCATCAGTTACATTTTGGGTCATGTGGGCTTGTTTTGCATCGTTTGTTTTGTTTTGTTTTGTTTTCCTGAGCCAAGGATAGGATGCTACACAACCCCTTTTTTCTTTGGAGCACCAAATAGGAAATGAGAATCCTATCTTTTCGTCCTGGGTCTATGGCTAAGTAACCTGAGAAAGTCATTTAAACACCCTGTAAAGACCTTGAACAGTCCCTGGCGTATAGTAAGTGCTTTAAAAATGTTAGTGATTATTGTGATTGTAATTCATTATTAATTATTATTTTCTTCCTTAATGTCTTTGTCTGGAGAATGGAATTCTGACTTCAGCTCCCCTGTGCAGTTCTTTCTTGGGCTCAAATTCTTTGGTTCCATTCGTTTGTTACTTAGTTCCTTTATGGTTAGCAGAATTCACGTGTGCATGTTTGTGTATGCGAGCATACGTATGCTTCCATGTTTCTAGAATGTAACTGGGACTTTTTTTCCCACAAAGCATGCAGGCAGTGTGGCATCTTGTTGGATTTCTGAGGTGCCAAGCCCCACCAGAATTGGGGTGGAGCAGCAAGAAAGTGGGAGTTCTGACTAAAAATAGCTGTGATCACTGGTCTGAAACATTGAGTAGGAATCCCAGTGCTTTGTATGAAATCTTGACTCTGTAAAGCAGCAAAAGGATTGCCCTACAGAACCGAATTCTATGTTAGCACTGTCTTTTCAAGCATGACCGCATAAAGCAGCTGGAGTAACACCGGAACCTGACTGTTCTTTGGGGACTAGAAGCAAGTCCAGTAGACGTCTGGAAGCACCCATGCTGCGACTGAGTCAAAACCCAGTGACTCGAAAGCCTAAAGAACATTTGCTAGTTTTGTCTTTTATATTTTGCCTTTGTTTGTTGTCTGGGGACTTGCCAAGCATAGGACAGCTGCCACTCTTGCTACTGCTGACCACCCCTAAGGTGGAGAAATTCGGCACAGAGCCCTCAGGTTAACCCTGTTTCTGGATGTCAAGTTCCTTGGTCATTGGATGATGAGCTCACATCTGTTTTTGCCTGTGACCATTGACTATATTTTATGTGCATGTGACCGTAAAGAGGAAACTGTGAAAGTCAGCTGTTCCGTTATCCCTCTGTTGAACAGAGAAAATGTCTGCACCAAAATCCACTAGCCAAGCAGCAAAGACCATGCCCCGCTTTCCCTTCTCACTACCTGGGTTTTGCTGTTGCTCCAGCACAGTGTGCAGTCTTGTTAGTACTGTTAGTATCCCCACTTAGTGAACGAAGCCACTGGACCAGAAGGAACACTTGACCAGCAAGTTTGCCTTGCTTCCAAGGGAAGCCTGCCAAGCCTGGATTTCCAGCAGGAAAGAAGCTGTGAAGCTCTATACGTTTTGTGCCTATAGATTTTCTTTCTTGGTTCTATTTCCTCAGAATGTACTACCTTGCCAGAGAAGAGGGACAATACTGCTCTCTAGTGTCACTACTAAATACTTGAAAAATGACTTCTGTCCCCACCTTCACGGCCATTTACGGCTTTTGGGCTGTCGGTCTTTCCAGTATAAATGTCAACCTTTAAGGCTTATATCCAGCTGTCCAAATAGTGGAAGGTGATGCAAGCACTTTTTAATGTACCTATCCAAATTTTACAACACTCATGTATGGACTATAAAAATTCATATTGGATATGAAGCTAAATTTTTTAAAAGAAAGCTGTATTCACATACTCAGAGATAAATATTTCAATGTCTAAGAAGATTTCTGCTTTCAAAAAGCACAAGTACTTTGAAAGCGAAATAATGCTTTTAGCCTATGATATTTTAGAGCATTTTTCAAGAGCACTGTTCTAGTTAATAGAAATAAAATATTGGATCTGGAATATGGAGACCCTGTGACTGAACTCAGTCAGTGTGACTTCTGCAGTTCAGTTCAGTTCATTCTTCATTCTCTGTTTCCCCAGCTAAAAATTGGGCTCATGCCCTGGCCAGCATCTGTCAAGACATCTTTCCTTGAGTTAGAGGAGAAAGACTTACATATAAAAAACACTATATGAACAGTAATTTTAAATGTATGTATATGTAGTTTATATGTAGTCATCTACCACACATATGTAGAGATGCGCTGTTTCTGGGAAAACTTTGGGCTTTCAGTTGACCCTAATTGCAAGATTGTATCTCAAAGTATAAACTCAAACTTGTCAGCCAAGAAGTCATTATAATCAATATATAGGTGAATGGTGATGATATGCAAAACTACGGACGTAAAGGGCAAAAGGCTAAAAAGGAATGAAGGAGAAATTTGAAGGATCTTTAATCAACCGTACTGATTTTACCCTTTGCCCTATCCCTTCGTTCTATCCAAGCACATACTCATGCATTTCCTTTCATAATTAATAGTGGTAGTTTTTTCTTCTTCTTCTTCTTCTTCTTCTTTTTTTGGGGGGCGGGCGGGCCAAGGAGATCCTGGGGATTTCACCCAGGGCCTTGACTATACTGAGCACGTGATCTTCCACTGACCTACGCTCCTGGCTCATTTGCTGCTCCTTACTGTCGCGGCGGAGCTTGTCGCTAAACACACTCGTGTACTGCTCCAGCTGCTGCTTCTGGTCCATGAGGCTCTTTGCCTCTATAATGTGGCTCTCTAGCTGCGCGGCAGAGGCAGAGTTAGTGTCTTGTGAGGGCCAGCGACAGGTGCACTGACAGCCAGGGTATCTACTCTTTCCAGGTAAGACCTAGACTCTAGGATCTGTTTAGGTAAGGGAAAGGAGAGCAAGACCCTGCAGATCCTGTGACATTTGCCACCAGATTTTCCTGAAACCCAGAGATGCATTTGTGAAGTCACGCCTTCCCAGGCCTTAGTCTCACTGAGAGTGCAGACCAAGGAGGAGACTAATGCGGGTCAACATCGTTTCTCCTTGGAGTTAAAATAACTTGGTTCTGTATTTGAATAGCAATACATTCTGTCCATTAAACTGTTTTTTTTAGTTCAGAGTTACTCAGTCTTTATAAGACATAAGTTCTTCCAGACTCTTATTTCCCTTGTTCAAAGCTACTTAACATCTATACATGAACTGTAAATAATTTCTCCATAATATATGTTATAAATTATAGGTCGACTGACATTAATATGCTAAAGAACCTTAAATTACACATAATAGAAATCAAGCTGTTCATATTTTTAGTATAGTGGCAAAATGTTTCCCATAATATTATTTTCTTAGGATAATAGTGAGTAAAGATATTGACCGCATCTTTCATTGTCATTACAACCCTAAATTTCTGCCGTCATTGTAGACAAGTCACAGACGTTAAGTAATCATCCTTCCTGCCAGTAAGTGGCAGGTGCAGAATTTGAGCCCAGATCTACCCATTTCCAAAACCTGTTCTTGTTTTATCACTAGCTATTTTCTCCACATTTCTGATCCCAAAATGGCTTTCAGAGAAAACATAAACAATATTCTTTTATTATTTACTTTGGAATGCCAGGGATATCTCTTATAAAACAATGTTTGCGTAAGATAGGACTAATGTACCTTCTGGCCCTACTTTTCTTCTGTCTGATGTCTAATGTGCGTAGTTGCTGTTTGGGGAATTACTCTAACCAGTAATGCAGCCAAATTGATGTATTAATAGCCCACGTTAGATGAGTGTCATGAAACCGTGTCCTTTCACAGGTATTCCATCAGAACAAAAAAAAGCACTCTTGGCCATGAGGGAAGATATTACATACCTATGTGGGTCTCTTTTAATCCAACGGGTCTTGTTCCATCAGTACATTAGGGCTTTCCCTGAATGTATGTTCCATCTCTACATTAGTGTTACATTTAGTATCTGCTGCCAGAGTAGTCTCTGTCTCCTCCCAGTGAATGTCATAGTTACCCTACGAGATGAACTTTGACCCCATGACCACCATATTGTCGTAGAGCAGAGAAAAATGAGACAACCTTCAAATCATAAGAGTGAAGTTCTCTTGAGGCTCTGTCTCCCCTTGCCTGCTCCATAGGTTTTGCTTTCTCTAGACTGTAGTGAGAAAAACACTTCACATAGCGGGTAATGCTCTCATTCACGTGTGGTTCTTTTGTAGTGTAATTGGACTCCCAGGAGAAGAGGACTGGCCTAGAGATGTGGCCCTTCCCAGGCAGGCTTTTCATTCCAAACCTGCCCAGCCCATTGAGAAGTTTGTAACAGATATTGACGAGCTAGGCAAAGACCTACTTCTGGTAAGTTCGTGCAGTACGTAGCTGGTCTGCCCTGGCGCATCCTATCTAGGCTGGGCAATGGACGCCGAGTATCACCTCAGCGTTGGCTGAACTGATGTTTTTCACTTTGTCTGTGCATGTTTTTCACTTCCAGCTGGTGGCTTTTGATTCTGTTTTTTTTTTTTGGTTTTTCTCCGGTACTGGGAACCGAACTCACGGCCTTGTACTTGCCAGGCAGGCGCTTTTTGCCGCTGAGCTAAATCCCCAGCCCCGGCTTTTGATTCTGAAATGCCTTTCTGATCCCACCTCTTTAATAAAGTCTTCCGTCTTCGAATGTGTATTTGAATGCTGAGTTAGAAGCCTCTCTGTGTACTTTTCGTTTTAATGGTACCTTTTCTAAGACAAAGATATAACGTCACATCTTTAGGAAAATACTCTTCCAAAGGAACTAAGTAGCAATACTCCTATAAGTTAGTAATATCTTTAATAAATATTTAATATGCTTTGTACATATAAAATAGCTCATTGAAAATGAAAGCAGAAGAAAGAGAAGAAAAGAAGGCATGGTGATCTAGAATCCCAGCCCTTGCAGGAGAACCACTACGAGTTTGAGGCCAGCTTGCACTACACAGTGAAAACACTGTCCAAAAAAAGGGGGGGGGTGGGGAGGACTGCAGTGCTCTGGGATTCAAAATCATACCTGACCTTGCACATAATGTCCCTATACAGAAGGGGGCGCCTTTTGGGAAGCTCTCGATGTCGACCCTCAGTAAATAATGAGTATGTCCTTTACTTAAAATAAGAGCCTTCGATCTCTGCGCCAGCCTGTGGATCCAGTCCAGGTCTTCTCCATGCATCTCATTCTGCACCTGCGCCAGAGAGGCAGCAGCTCCCTCGGGCGTGCTTTGCTCCCGCAGCAGCTCGCCGCTCCCACACAGGCAGGCAGGAACACAGAACCACCCCGAGGCCTGGGTTTGAGAGGTGCCCTGCCACTCCTTGCCACATTCTACTGGCCAAAGAACGTGAGGTGGCCCCAGCCAACTTCAACCAAGAGAAGAATGCTGCTCCTGTGGAAGGAGGGGAGAGAAGGGAATATCCGATTAAAAAAGAAATCCAGTCTGCAGCAGTAGTCAAGTCTTAACTAAGTTATTCTAAAAGCTTATTTTGTAAGTCAGCATTCTGGGCGGAAGCAGCACTATCACACAAGGTTTTTGCCACCTGCCACCCACTTTGTACCTAAAAGGAGAGCAGTAATAGAACTTAAACACTTTTTCTAACTATGTCTAGAGGACAGAATGCGTTAAACACTGCCCACTTGAAGTTCACACAGCCTCACACCGGGCTAAGGAACTCCCCGCTGCACCCTCTCCTAGCCCTTACATGGTCAGTGCAGCTGTAGGGGAAGGGCTTTCTCCCTGATAACCCCCTAGGGATATGTCTCTGTAACTTGCACATACTCAGCGCTGTTCTTTCCTATGTCCTAGGAATTAAACTGGCTGCTTCCTTTCTAATACGCCTGCCTATTTTACCCTTGGACTGTGGAAAGAAAGGCTCAGTCTCCAGAATTTTTGCCTCTGCTTTCCTGTCCTTTGCAACTTTTTTTTTTGCCTCTCATTTCTTTTGCTACATTTGCAAAGCTCTTCTGAAGTTGTTTATTGCTATTAGACACATAGGAACCGTTCTGCGAACAAGCTCCTCCCTCTGCCTGCTTTTGAGCTCTTTGATATTTAGAAAACCCAAAAGGGAGATTGGCATCCTTGGACTGGTAGGGAGCTCAGATGAATAAGATTTCAGGAAATCCAAGAATTTGCCTGAAATGATATGTAGAATTTCTTCTTAGGCAGTAGTTGTCAACAGCATTCTAGAGGCCCCTACTCCCATCAGCGCCAAGGGAGGACTTCGGGCAGAAGCCCAGGTTGAGGAGTGGAGGTCTGCATACCCGGAGCAGTGTTCAGTCTCTGGAGGACTGAAATTCATAGACTTTCCAGAGACCCAGCTCCAGCAGTGAACATTACGCGCTGGGTGCCTCAGATGCGATCCTGTCGCATGTTTGCAGCCTGTGAGCTCCTGGGACAGTGGGTGAGGTACTCATAGTGAGCATTTGTCACCAGCGAGGTGCTCTTCAGGAGGTATCAGTGCAAGGAGAGGAGAGAGAATTGAGGAAGGTTTCTGGGGTTGCAGTGAAAATGGGACTGAGAGTACAGACACAGTTGACAGTTTGAGGGTAGAGTGGGCTGCTTCTCCAATGGTTCATGTATGCCTCCTGTTGCCTTCCACCCCAATAGCCCAGACAAACTCACCAAATCGCTTGACCGGGGCCAGGTACTCCGTAAGTGCAGCTACCAGCTCTTTTGCCCTTGTATCCCTGCGCTTGAGTTGTCAGACTTCGGTGGCTTGAATTTAACCCACTGGACTCTGGAGGGCTGCTGCTAGCCCGGATGAATCATGACAACATCACTGCCTCTGGGGGTGCAGCGCTAGGGGCAAGGTACATGGCCTGCTGCTACATCAGGCTGTAGAGGCCTATGTCTAGCTCCTCCTTACTCCCTCCCTGAGGCGCCACTGTTCAGTAGTTACCCTTTCCACCTGAACAGGGCACCCTTCTGCTCCGCGCTCATTGACAAACCCTGGGGCAGAGAAGAATCCAATCCAAGTAAAGTGATACACATACTGTAAATAAAATACTGACTTGTGTATGTGGTGCTTGAGAGTTTTTTCAGGTTGGATTGGGTTGGGCTTGGCTGGGCTGGGTTTTGTTTGGTTTGGTTTGGTTTTGAGGTGCTAGAGATCAAACCCAGAGCCTCACGTATGCTAGGCAGATGCGATACCACTTACACTCGCGGTCCTCCACATGTTTTAAATGACCTGGGCTGTGGCTCTGAGAGGAATCCTGGGTGAGTAGGAATCCACAGACACCTAAAAGATGTCACCTTTTCCTGAGGGCCAGCTTCTCTGTTAGCGAAATGTACTAGTATTGTGTACACATTATTTAAAGTCCCTCCAAATAAATATCCTTACTATATTGATAGACAGTACGCAACAGTGAACACACAGAAGGATAACTATGTGAGCACAGTGTTTAAACTGACATGTTTTGCATCAGTCTGTTCCATTTTCTTTATTACAGAAGTGCTTGACATTTAATCCAGCCAAGAGAATATCCGCCTACAGTGCCCTGTCTCACCCGTACTTCCAAGACCTGGAGAGGTGCAAGGAGAACCTGGATTCCCCCCTGCCACCCAGCCAGAACGCCTCAGAGCTGAACACAGCCTGAGGTCTCCGGGCTGCCTTGAGCTGGTCATCTGGAGCCCTTGGGCGGCTGCAGGGTCCCCTGTGCAGGCCCTGCAGAGCTGCTGCGCCTCGCTGGCTAGAGGCTTCCAGCTGCCATCTTTGCACGGGCTCTGCTTCTCCAAGGAAACCGCCTCGTTTACTGTTTTGAAATCAATGCAAGAGTGATTGCAGCTTTATGTTCCTTCGTTTGTTTGTTTGTCTGTTTGTTTCAAGAACCTGGAAAAATTCCAGAAGAAGAGAAGCTGCTGACCAATTGTGCTGCCATTTCATTTTTCTAACCTTGAATGCTGCCAGTGTAAAGTGGGTAATCCAGGCACAGCTGAGTTATGATGTAATCTCCCTGCAGCTGCCGGGCCTGATTTGGTACTTGGGAGTGTGTGAGTGTGTGTGGTGTGTGTGTGTGTGTGTGTATGTGCGGTGAGGGAGATTCTCTGATCTCTTAAAGTGTTACTTTTTGTAAATAACGAGAAGAATTGAATTTTAAAGACCCACAGTGACCCTAAATAACAGGCGCTTGTTCACTAAGCGTGCTGTGCTCAAGTGAGAAAGTTGAATCTATGTCCTCAGCATTTCGTTTCTGGTCAGAAACAGTAAATTTGCTAGCAATAAAAGATGGAAGTTTCAGACACAACAAAAAGGAAAACATTCTAATATCTTTTAAGAGACCTCTTTTTTAAAGCATGCATCCTATTTGCTCTTCTCACAGCTGAATATACTTGTTTGAAGTCTGTTTGAACCTTCTGTATAGTGTGTTGCTTTGGGAAAATACCTGTAAGCTTTTTGTGACTCGCTATAGATTTAGGGAGTGTACCTCAAGTAGGTTAAAAATCACAAATAGAGATAGCTTTTATTTTCTGGTTTGAAATGTCATTATTTCCTTCTTGGTTTTTTTGTTATTTTGTTTGTGTTAAGCATTTTTTTCAGAAACTGTTTCCTGTCTCGGTTTGGAGAGTTGGTCTCTCTGGCTAAAGACAGGAAAGGCATTTAAATTGTCTTTACTATTACACTGTACTTTTTACCACGCACTGCCTGGTTTGCAAAGTGCCTATCTTTCTGTCCGCTGGCTCCTCTGATAAACACTGCTACAATTACATAACTAACAACAGATTGTTGAAGCTGTTCCACACACCACCTGCTTACTTTCTTCCAGTGAAGATTTCTCTAATACTGAGTTTCAGGTGATGATTTATGATCTCAGTTCTGCAGTCCTACCAGTGTCCCGTTTATCCCCTCCTAACACAGTCCTCCTAGTTCGTATTCACTGATGCTCCCTAGGCGACGTGCAGGGTACCCGCTCCTCTGTCCTACTGGCACACCGATCACTGTACTGTTTCCGAGTTTTCAGTTTTTATGGACTACATTGTCAGAGTAGTATCTGAGGGGGTGTCCTTAACTCTCTTTTAAAGATGACCTGTTTACTTTCTGAAGGGACCCTTCTCTGCTTGGAGGTTGTTTCAGATGCTTTGGGCTCGCTCCTGTCCTCTGCAGCGCCAGCCTGACCTGGGCACTGTAGACAGCTTCACCATTTCTCTGGCAATCTTCTCTTCGGTCCTTTATATTCCGTACCGTCTCTGCCTTACCCATGGTTTACTGATGAGCTGGCTCTGGGAACTAGAAGACACAGAAAGTATCTTTTGGGGACATTTGACTGCCTGTGATTTCTGTCTCAGGTTTTGAATGCCTGTGGGAAACAGCTAGATGATACTAGAGAGGATTTTCAAAGAATGGCTGGTGCTTTACTCAGCAGAAAGTGTTGTGGGTGATGACTGTACATTACCAGTATTCACTGAATGCATCACAGCTTAACAGGACTATCTTTTTTTAATGACGAAGAAGAACAAGAATTTGAAGAAGTGAATAATGTAGATGTTTCTCCTTTATGGCTTTGGAAGTTGGGATCTTTTTCCTTTCTAAAATACTCAGGATTGGACCCAGGGAATACTGAGCTACATCCCCAGCCCATCACCACCCCCATCCTTCTTTTATATTTATTTCATTTTTAGACAGTCTTCACTTGTGATCTCAAATTTGTGATCCTCCTGTCTCAGCTTCCCAAATAGCTGGTGTTATAGGTATATGACACCAAATCTGACAGGAACCATTCTTTTTTAAATACATACACTGCTTGACATTGTTCCAGTTTAGTAGCTTCAGGAAAAAAGAATTCTTTCAAAAGCAAGGTAAAAAAAAAAGAAGAGCCCCAAGAAGCGGAGTGTGGTGGCACACACCCGTCGTCCCAATACTGTGAGATCACAAGACAGGAGGATCAGAAGTTTGAGTCCATCTCAGGCCACTTAGTCACGTAGCAAGACCTTGCCTCAGAAGTTAAAAATAATTTTTTTTAAAAGCATTGGGAATGTAGCTCAATATGAAGGCCCTGGGTTCAGTTCCCCAGTACTGCAAGGAACAGAAAAGTACAGGGAAGGAGCATAGACTGTTTTATACTTCATGTGGCGGCGGTGATTATGTGTTGCCACCACTGTAATAGAATAGTGAAGCCGGAGTGTGAGGTAAGGTACACGCTGGAAAACAAGCCTTTTCATTCATCAAAAGGTTCGGAATACAGGGACACCCACGCGGCGGCTTAGAAATTGAAAACTCAGTGTGCTGATTGATCATGACCTTTTTGGCTAGTAGCCACGTGTTCAAGGGAACGTAACTTTGAGTTTGTACGTTTTTAAAAGTTTGCTCAGAAATTCCCTCAAGAAAAGTGCAGCTGTTCTAAACTGGAATTTTTCAGCCTCCTTAGAATTGAGTTCAACTTTCATTTCTAGCATCTGCTTTGGACCTATCTCTAGTCAGCGCTTGTAAAGAATTAAAGCACAAATGTTCTGGCACTAGCTGCTTGGCACAGTACGCTCTGATGACACTGAGGAAAGGGCCTCTCACCTCTGAACTTTGTCTTGCCCCAGTTCGCCCCAGAGGTGTTGCCCTTGAGTGCTTACTGTCTTCATGTGTGTCTTCAACGCCCACGCTAAGGATGTCTGAAGTCCGGATCCCACCAAGCAGTCTTACCTTTCTTTAGGACACTGCAAAGTACAGACTTGGTGAATCCGGCCTACTCCGTGGCATATGCTTTCGTGTATCTTTGCCCAAAGCCAGGTAGTGTTTAACTGTCAGGGTCATACTGCCCTGGGGCTCAATTGAAGCAGCTTACTGCAAGCAGAGTCTCAGGACAGATTTGAAAGCACATTTGAATTATTCTAGGACTAGTGCAAGAATGCCTGACAGCTTCTCTTTGCGGTTTGGTTCTGGTGGTCAGGGATTGTGACTGTCGTGTAGTGTGTTTCAGCAACCTTGATAGAAAAAGCAAAGTAAACCTGTTCTTTTAGTTTATCATAAGCTGTCGCATGACAAAGGCTGATACTGACCTTCAGAACAATTCCTGAGAGCTTGTAAGAAGCCAGTGAGTGGGAGCCTCCTACTCTGTCCCTCTTTCAAAAGTACAGGGGGTCAGGGAGCAGAGCATCTGCTCGAAATAACACTTGGGGCCATTTCAGCCCCTGCAGTTCTCATGGTTTTCTCCCAGGAAGGGCACCGTGAATGGTAGATTTTTCATTTAGCCCCAGGTGGCTTACTAAAAATAGTTCAAAGTTATTCACCTAAGAATACAGTCTCAGCATGTTAGCTTTAAGGAAGAATGAGAACGTCAGAAAGTACAGCATATCGATAGCCTCAAACGTTCCTTTGAATAGAAAAATGTACACTTTAACTCTGGAATGTGGTACTACCCATCTTTGATAATCAACAGTACCAGACATTTTGAACTTCAAATTATGTATGAGTGTTTAAATTGATGATTATGTAACTGTAGCTGCTTCTTTTAAAAGGTGCCTATTCACTAATAGCAATACTCATTCTACTTTGGAAATTCAATCCTGTCCACTTCCTAATATCATAGACGTATTAAAATTCTTCTATCCAAAGAACTTCTTTTAAGTGAAAACTTGACTATTTTTATGATAAGCACATGAGAGTATCTCACATTTTATTTTCCAGCGTGCTTTTGTTGTATACCTGGGTCTAGGAAAGGATAATGTTAAAAGTCAATATGCCACCAGAATTCATGTATATATTCGTAGAATTTAAAAAACGCATGTTTGACATTCTAACGTTAAAAATAAAGATGTTGCATGATTCTAAATTTTTAAAAATTATTCATAAAGCACAATGGCTAGAGGAAATTTTGGAGAAAATTCTGTTTCAGGCAGTAGTTTTTAAATACCCTGTTTTGAAAGACGTAGTTTAATCATCAAAAATATTGTAAAAGTTATATTAAAGTCACCTGCCAATTATGAACTTGATATGTTTAAAAGCCAGTTTTGTAGAGAAGCTAGCCCAAGCACAAACTACCTTTTCAAGCATTGAGCCGAGTACACTAAACCATCCATATTCCTTCCTCTTTTTGTAGGAAGAAGCAGCCACCAAAGCTACACTTGTTATACCTGTTTAAGAGTGTATATTCACTGTAAAAGTAAGTTGTTGAAAGGCATGTGTTTCGTATGCCAGCAGGACTTCTGAGAAATTGCAGCCTTTACGCAAAACTCGTTGTCCTGTACATTAAGTATATACAGATACATTAAGTACATATAGTTAGGAAGACACATGTTCTTTGTTCACAATGGAAAAACAACTTGAGCAGCAATAGAAGTACTGGAAAAATTCAAGTTTCTTCAAGGGCATGAGAAAGGCATTTTCTCATGTCTCACTGATTCTTTGGTGTGAATACACTTTTCAGCCCAACTTTCATCCACAGCTATGTCTCAACCATTTCTAACTTCTACATCTTTAGAAAATAAGCCAAAACTATTCCTTTGGACTTTATCATCTGACCTCTGTAAACAGCCGAACTATAGAAACAAGACAGGTAGTCTGGGTGGTGGTGGGGTTTTTTTGTTCCTTTGTTTTTCAGTTAACATTCTCAGGCCAGGCGTGGTGGCTCTCGCCCGTAATCCCAGCACTCGGGAGGCTGAGGCAGGAGGATCGTTGAGAGTTTGAGACTAGCCTGGGCAACCAAGTGAGCTCAAGGCCAGCCTGAGCTTCATATCAAGACCCTCTCAAAAAGACAAAAAAAAAAAAACAAAGAAACAATCATTAGCATTCTCAAGGAGTTAGTTTAGATTAATAAAGGAACATTATATTTGTGTCTCCTTGACTCTGGTACTCTGGCCTTCCAGAAGAAAACAAAAGCCACCTAAAAATTCAGGCTGTTCTTCAGGCAGCTATTAAGATACTATTACAGTGCTTTAAAGTTAATATGGTAGGAAGGGAAGATAGTTTCTCTTGCAAAAGTCTTATTTTAAGATTCACTCAGTCCTAAGAGCTGGACTTGGCTGTTTCATTCCAGTGTATCCCACAAGGTGGCACTTTAACAAAAAAACCTGACCAAGGCTAGAGGTACTTCTAAAGACACCACTAACTTCATATTTCTGTACATTTTTAACTGTCGGCTAGCACTTACTTAATAGTCTTCATAATGTTCTGTAACTTTTGTTTCTTAGCTAGTTCTGAACAACTGCTTACAAATAAAGTAAGCTTTAGAATGGCTTATGCATAGATTTTGATCATTTGAATAAAGCCCAGTCATTCATTTATTTAACATTTTTTGAGGTGCCTAATTACCTTTTCTAGGTTAGGCAGGCTTACTGAAAAACAACCCTTACCTGTGAAGGGGACAGTTTTGTTAGGAGTATAACACTGGCTCCAGGCAAAACACCCACACCGTCTACTGCTTTCACATCCCCTACCATGGTGGGGATGAGCAATTCAGTTTTAAAGCCCTAGCTTAAAAGTCAGCTGAGCAGAGGCTGGGGATACGGCTCAGTAGCACACATCTCCCATCTTCCATATGTGAGGTGCTGAGTTCAATTCCTGGTTCAAAAAGAAAAAAGAAAAAAAAATCACACGAGCAAAATAAGTAGTGTATCAGTAATTAAATGCACAAAATTTCTAAAGAATTGCTATAATACTGCTGGGCGTGGTGGCGCACACCTGTAATCCTAGCACTTGAGAGGCTGAGGCAGGAGGATCGTTGCAGGTTCAAGACCAGCCTGGGCTACGAAGTGAGCTCAAGCCCAGCTTGGACTGCATAGCAAGACCCTGTCTCAAAAGAAAAAAAAATTGCTATACTGAAATGAGACTCAAAATACTAAAAGAGCTGGTAATTTTTATATTTGTGTAGTCAGAAATATAAATTCTTATGCCGTTGGAAAAGGGCTGGGGATGTAGCCCAGTGGTAGAGTACAGGCCTTGCTTGTGCAAGGTTCTGGGTTCAATCACAAGCAACACAAAAATTTTTGAACTTTGTCTTAAGTGTGTGAGCATAGTAATTTAAGAGCACATTTACCTAACCGTTTGATTTCACCACATCGCAAGTTTTTTGGCAACTTTATGCAATATATATTACTGTTTTTCTTTTCTTTTTTTAAGTTCACATTTCTGCCCAGAGGCCCATTATCTCCTTCCCCGGTGATTTACAAAATCTGGGAGGAAGGTGATGAGAGTGTTTTAAAGTTTCTTGAGCACAACACAAGACAGTTTATGGACCTGCTTTCTTCAGAGTGAATCACTTGGGGGCTGGGGATTTAGCTCAGCGGCAAAAGCGCCTGCCTGGCAAGCACAAGGTCGTGAGTTCGGTTCCCGGTACCGGAGAAAAAACAAAAACAAACAGAGTGAATCACTTGGACCTGTCAAAGCTCTGAGAGGCAGGCCTGGCACTAATTCGCCCCCTGCACCCACCGACACCACAGTGAAAGGCCGGATTCAAACCTGGGGTTGGTAGGTTTGCTGTCGGGGCCAGTCTGACCCTCGGGCTTGTGGTCCCAACCGCACCGCCCGGGAAGCCTTGTGGCACCGACAGGTGAGTGGCAGGGGGCGGAGCTGTCCTTGCTGGGCTCCCCGCTGCTGGCTCAGCGGCATCTGTTGTGCAGTCTTAGGGAGTAAAGCGGCCCTAGACGCGAACGGGTGTCTCCTGCGTATCTCGAAGTACAACGCAATCCTCCCGCCCTCGGGTATGCAGATGCGGTAGACTGCTCAATGCGAAGCGGTCGACCAGGCATCTCAAGTGCTAAGCTCAGCTTCTTTGCTTTTGTTTTTTAAAGAGGAGATATACAATTAAAGTTTTTTTTTTTCTGTCATCCTACGTGCATGAGGGCAAAAGACGTATCGAAATTTTTTGAAAAATTGTTCATTTTCTACTTCAGTTGGCGGGAGCTACTCATTAGCTTCCATTTTTTATTTGCCAGGCAATTAAAGGTATGAAAGAAAATGATGTTGTAATGGCATTTTCTTGTGCAGAGGACCTTTCGTGTGATTGCTCACACAAATAACCAAGCCCGTCTCTAATTTAAGAGTTTGGGTTGTCAGATGCAGGTTTCCTTGAAGGGTGCACATACATAGCTGCATAGTGACGGCCACGTCCTATGTGGCACCAACCAGCAAACGGCCACACAGCTGTTTAATTTTGGACTCTGGTTTCTAGCCAAACTATTGATATGTTTAGGTTACAGTTCTGTAGATACGCTTTGTACCGTTGAATGTTCTAATCTTAGGCTTTATGAAATGCAGTAACTTGTATTTATGTGGTCATCAGCAATGCAGAGTTTGACTTTGAAGGCTCTGAAAAATTAGATTCCAGCAGTAGCACATCTCTTGAACTCCCGAGTACATCGTGTATGTTTCCTTCTTGGTCATCTGCAGCAATAGACACACTTGTGTTAGAGTTCCCTACTTCCTTTTTATTCACTTGTTTTCCTGTGATTAGTGAGAACTGTGTTAGTACATGGAGTGAATAGCATCCTAGGAACAGCACTTAACAGGTGTCTGATTTTTTCAAGTTTGACATTTGCATAAATTATTTCTATTGTTCACGTATATTATTTATTGCTGAATCACACTAGTCCTGTGAAAGTGGAACTGAAGGTTAAGATTTGCAGTTTGCATTTAACGTTCATTGTGGCCTTGATAGAGTAAAGGAAATAAAACTTAGACTGAGTCCCCAAATAAGCTGCATGCATTTCTACACGATGAGTAGATTTAGGTGTGTGGATGTAGTACTCTTGGTGTCTAGGTGTTTTTATCATTATGTAAGGAAACTAAAGCAAAGGACTTCATAGCTGTTGCTTTTGTCCAGTGTGCATTTAGCTTAGTGTGAAATTACAGCAAAAGTAAAAGCTAAAGGTAGAAAAGCATTTTAGAGGCTGCCTTAACTTAGGAACTATGCCAGGTGGCCAGCAAAGTAGATGCGCAGCAGAGATAGGTGTAGCGGGGTGCCTCTTGCCTGGCCTGTGAAGAAGTTTCCCCCATGGTCTAGCGCTGTTGTGGGTGTTCCACACAGCAGTGGGACAGGTAGAACTGTTGAGAGGGAAGCAGCGTCAAAACTGCTTTGTGGGAACAGAACTGGCAGCTTATGTCGAGGCTTCCAGAGTGTGACGGATGGAAAAGTCCAAGATTGCACCCTTTGGGCAACTTTGCTGTGTACAGAAGCAATCCAACCTGTTAATAATAATCTAGGATTGCAATAATAGACAAGGAGGTTTTAACGACCAGCAAGTCCCAAAACCTGCAAAGCTTGTTGCATTTTTAGATTTGATCTGAAGGTTAAAGGGCAAGTGTTTGGTATAGAAGAGCAGTACGTGTTCAGAAAAGCACAGTATCAGTTCCCACACAGTGCAGATCAGAGCTAGAGAGTTTTAGAGGATTCTCATTTCTGAGATGTGTAGAAGTATATTTTCACTATCATATGCATTAGTGCTTCTGCCTTCCCATAGTTTTAAAACTTTCTCCCGGGTTTCGCCAAAGCTGTCATACAGTAAGCTTCTTTTTTCTGATTTATAATAGAAAATGTTCTAAAAGTTAAGGAAACTCTTAGTCTAAACATTTGCCTCGTTGGTTTTTTGTTTGAAGTCACAGAAATACAGAGATTGTGCACATCAGATGCTAATCTAGGCTGTGTGAAGAACCAGCCCAGGATGACCAATATTCCCACGTCCTATACCCACCCCTGCATCTCTTCCTCCTTCCCACTAAGGTGCTCCTTGCCACCACTGTAGCTTGTCCATCCTCCTCTGCTGACTGGAGATGGGGGAGGCATCAGGGACATGATAAGAGGTACCTTAGGTACCACGGTTTACCTACATAGGTCTGACCACGACCTCCGCTTGGCCTTTGGCCCCCGATGCCAGGCACAGAATGTGCTTGTGATGTCAGTCAGATACGCCTTCTAGCATCTTTGTATGCATCTTGATGTTTAAACCAAGTCATTCTACAGAGCATTCAGTTTTGGCTGTGGTACCAAGAGAGGAACTAACCGAGAATACAAACCACATTCCAAGCTGCTGTTTCCTATCCCTCTACAGGCTATCCTTTTACTGTATTTTCTTCATACTTGAAATTCATTCTGCTATTTTAATATCAGGGTACAGACATCAGGGTGCATTTTCTCTCAAGGTGCATAATGACTCTCATTCCGTTTGCTCATGTTGCCGCAGAACGCTCTGTTTTGGTGCTTTCGGTTCAGCAGGTCAAAGAAGCAGTGTGGAAAATCCCTGCCTGGAACACAGTCTTACAAGAATGCTGGCAGATGGCTTGGTGTCAGATGTTGCTTCTGCTCTTTTCCCTGAAAGCAAGATTGAGTTGCCACACTGGCCAGTCAGGTCCACGCAAGTATCTTTCCTCAGAATATACAAGCCCTGTGGTCTGCTCCCAGGTGGGTGTAGCACAACCTCTGAAGCAGGAATCTTCCTACCTATCCAGATCATTAGCCCTCAAAGAAAGATGACCTTGGGTGAAGATAACAGAATGGGAAGGGCCAGGTGGGCCATTTAGTGACCTCCCTTATTCCACGCCGGAAGCCTTCCTAAGGCCAATAAAAAGGAAAGGAAAGAAGGGTGTATCTCAGGTTACCCTCAGCTAAACGCACTCACTCCCTTTGAAGCAGATGAAAATACTGGTCCATTTATCTAAACCCTTCCCACGAGAAAAGGAAAACAAAAGTAGGTGTTTGTGTCTTGTAAAGTATGTCATTCAAGGAGCACCACAACTTCTAGTAAATACCCCATCACTAGAAATCTATTTTTTTAAAAGTATCTCAAGTGAATGATACTTTATGACCCAGGGCTTCTGAGGTCAGACGCAGCCAGTCCAGTGTGTGTCTCATCCTAAGATTTGTGGGGGGAAGGAGCACTGCAGTGGTGATTCTGTTGCAATGGCAAAGGTGACCGATCAGAAAATTCAGAGGGTTACAGACCAATAATCCTTTGGAAACTGGATGTCTTACTGGGTGCTAGAATGGAAATTTAGGTATTTATTGTCCAATAATGGGATTCATTGTTTTTTCAAAACTAGTGTTGGAATGTTACTGTCCATTTTGTTCACTTATGCTCAAGCTCAGTTGATTGAAGCAAAAAGAAAATGATTTGTACATTTGTCATACCTTTTGTATTTCTTACAATAAAAATATTGGTAGCAAATAAAAACCACAGTTTTAAGATGCTTTCTTGGAGTTATTCTTTTTTTTTTTTTTACTTTAATGTAAAGTGATTTTAACTGTAGTAAGTAATGTATGGTTAAATTACAAGAATATATTAGCAAAATGTGTTCTAAACTTTGAAGACTCCTTTGCAGGCTTCCAGTGTAAAAATGTAAATAACATCTCACCGAGCTTAGAATTAATTGAGCAAGTATTTATCGAGCTCTTATGAGCTAACAATGCTAAGCACCAGACATGCAAAAATGCATGCAACGTGGGCAGTCTCTTTCAGAGCTTAGATAGATGAGCAAAGGTTTTCCATCAGAAATAAAGGTTAAGCAGACTGAAAAGCAAGGGTGTTTGGCAGTCACACGTGCAAAAGTACTTTGCTCACACAAATTTGTGCAGTTATGAAAGAGAAGGCAGGAAGATGGTGAGGCTGTGCCAGGGAGTGGCTTCCAAACGTGGATCATAATTTGTAGGTGGGATATAATCTAACAATGATCTGATACACGTGTGCCCGCATGCGTATATTCTGGACCATTTTCTTCTAAGCGATGTCCAGACAAATCCTTCACCTGGTTAAGTCTGCTATGCTCAGCACCATTTTCCCTTGAGTGCCTAGCAGCCATTTGTCACTGGCTTTACCCTCTGGGGTTCAGCCCAGTTCCCTGGGACAGAATCAAAGGGGGACAGGGTCTCAGGTAGTTTGTTCCACAAAGTATTCCACATAATGATGTTCTGTGTTGCTTCACATGTTCTCTTCCATTTTATAATTCTCTGCTCAAAGTAGTGGTAGCTAAAATTGATTTTACAACCCAACTAGTAGGGCATGACTTTCACCTTGAAAATGATGGGCCTGGGTGGTGGGTAAGTGAAGGACAGCTGGGAGCTCACAAGTGCCATAAAAGGGTTTGGGAACCATTGAAGGACTACAGAGGAAGACAGTTGCTGCTGATGTTTGCCTGTTTTCCCCTTCACTGGCTAGGTACTAGAAGCAAAGTGAAAAAAAGACATAGCAGCTCCCTAGATACACAGTAGACCAAAAGGAGGAGACTAATTGCTGATACCTGTGTTCCCTCCCCTTTGTATATATTATTAGGTGTATTTAAATTAGACCTCTACAATTCCCTGCAAGCTCCCTCTATTAAGACTTGCCTTTATTTTTATAGGACCTTAGCTACATTTAAGTTTTTAGAATCTAAAACATATATTTATGAGGGATGATGCAAAGTTGATAATTTGGTCTTTATTAAGAAATTGAAATTGCATAGCTTACTGAGAGATCAGTCATAACAAGCGTTTCCACAAAGGATTTGCATCACCTGGACCATTGCCTTCAGAGCTGTGTAGAACAGAACCTCTCATTATCTCTGCTGTGTTCGCATAGAACCACATTCCATTAAGAACTCGTTCCTCTGCGCCCATCCTACCCTTTGGAGGATCTACCTGATCTCCACATGGCTGCTCTCTAGGAAAGAGCTAATGGCAGGGATGGGTCCTAGGCGGCCGTGTCTGTTCTACCAACTCCATTCTGGGCAGGTTGTGTCATAAACCGTAGACTGTGAGGCTGTCTCAAGTACAGCTAGATCTGCTGCCTCTACACTCAGGGCCATGTGACCTTAGTCTCTTCAGCTACATAGAGGAGCTGGGGGACAGTCCATCTGGAGATGGGAAGAGAAATAGGCAAATATTAAGTCCAGAGAACCCAGTTCCTGTTTCCTGGGCTCTGAACAGTGTATCCTTATGATAAAGTGCCTTCAGCTTTTTTTCTTGTTAATTAATGTGGCTTAGGTAAATGTCTATTGATTGCAGAAAACATTCTAATGCAGCATCCAATCAGTACTGCAGCTTGGGATCTCTGTGGTGGACTGTAATTCAAGCTACTGAAAAGCTAAATTGGGAGAACAGTGTTCTTATTTAAGTGAATAAAAGCCAAAATGGTGAGGGTCTGCATTTCTCAGGAAAAAAAAAAAAAGTTCCTAGAAACCTGAAAAAGAAAAAGAAAAGCTATGGGTAACCAGTGTGTACCTTCTCTGAGCAGCGAATGTATTCAAAATAAAAGAGAAAATAGTTTATTTTAGTTATTTGTTACCCCTCAGTAGAAAATAAGCTGCATTGCCAGGTGGCGCAGGACATGCTTGTAATCCTGGTACTTAGGAGGCTGAGGGAGGAGGATCACTGTGAGTTCAGGACAGTCCAAGGTACATAGTGTGATCTGTGAAAGAGAGAAGAGACAGAGACAGAGAGAGAGACAAAGTAAGGTCCATGGAAGCAAGAAATTATTTCATTTCCTGTCCTGTCCTAGTGCCTAGCACACTGTTCCATCAATATTGACTAAATGCATCTAGGAATATTTCCACCACATGTCCCCATGTTAGCTCTGCTATACTCCTGGATCAATGACCTAAACATAAGGATAGAAAGAGTTGGAGAAGAAAACATAGGAGAAAATCTCTCCAATTTGGGGTTAAGCAAGGACTTCCTAGACTGCACACAAAATTATTGATAAATGGCACTTTATCAAACTTTAACTTCAAAAAACTAAGAAAATGAAAAAGGAAAACACAGATTGAGGAGGGGTTGCAAACACAAAGGATTGTTATCCAGCCCAATAATCCAACTTTCAAAATGGGCAAGAGATTTGAAATGGCCTTTCCCCCAAGAAGATAAATCAGGAGCTGAAGTGATGAACTGCATTAGTCAGCAGGGACATGCAAACTGAAACCACAATAAGCTGTCACCATTAAAACTTTGACAACTTCAGGGTCGGTGAAGATGTGGAATAACCGAAACTCATCATTGATGACTGGAACACAACATAATATACTCACTTTAGAAAAAGCTGCAGGAGAGGCTCAGTGGCAAAGCACCTGCCTGGCAAGCACAAGGTCGTGAGTTCGATTCCTGGTACCAGAAGAAAAACAAACAAACAAACAAACAAAGAAAAAGCTGGAGGAGCTAAACACAAACTTGGATCCCAACCCAGCTATCTCATAACTAGGTGGCTGTATATCAACATGTATAGCAATGTTCAGAGCAGATTCCCTCATAATGGATAAAAACTGGAAACAGTGAAAAAATTGGATAGAGACCGTGGCTTACAAAGATAATGGAAGAGTATTTAACAGTAAAAAAGAAGAATTGATGCACACAACACTGATGAAGCTCAAAAATACTTATGATAAGTGAAGAAAAATACAAAAGGCTATTTGACTCCATTTCCATGCAATTCTAGAAAAGGCAAAATTTAATTGCAAAAAGAAAAAGAAAATAGCAGTTTTCAGGGGCCAGGAAACAGGGAAGAAGATTAACTGCAAAAGAGCACAAGGTAGCATTTTAGCATTTTTTAGAGAGGTGGGAATGTTGAATTACCTGACTGTGGTCATGCTTGCCTGACATTGGTCCAACATTAAAATTGTATACTGTAAACTAAAGATTTTGTTATATGTAAACTATACCTCAATAAACCGATTCTTTAAAAATTTTAAGATGTTCTTTTTCATTGCCCCAAAGTCAACCTGAAATAATTGGCCAAGAACTTTTACAGCTTATGAGTCAACTCAACAAGGATAGAACAAGAGGAAAACTGATACAGTGCAGCTAGAACCAACTGATTCTGTTGAAGCATTCCTGAGCATCAGGAATTTTCCTTTCTGACTCACTTTCCTGGTTATTTCCTCTGCCTTCAGCCATCAAAAGGACTCAACTTGGGATTTTCAAAAGGAAAATTAATTAAAAGCTAATGGCTCCTTGGTTTCATGGTTGAATTTTTTAAAAAAAATCATGAATACATATATATATTAGAGGTTGGGTGAGGGAATGGAGGGAAGGTGGTACTAGGGATGGAACCCAGGACCTTCACACTGAGCTACATCCTCAGCCCTTGTCTTATTTTTTATTTGGAGACAGGGTCTCCCTAAGTTCCACAGGTTGGGCTCAAACTTATGATTCTCCTGCCGCAGCCTTGTGCCCCACCATGCCAGGTCCTTTGTGTATTGTTTACAGTAAGAATTGTAATGGTCAGGTGTACTACATGGCAAGTACACCTGTGACTTGTCACTGTTTTCATTATGTGTACGCAAAATTCTATCTAGAAATTATCTAATAAGTGCAAAGTCAGAGGAAGAGAAAACAATTAGCTGAGCTCTCTTTTCATAAAATAAATCAGAAGGGGTTATGGTGAAAAGGAAAATGTCCTAGACCCACCCTCTTTTTGTTTTTTTTTTTTGTTTTTTTTTGTTTTTTTTTTGGTTTTTCTCCGGTACCGGGAACCGAACTCACGACCTTGCGCTTGCCAGGCAGGCGCTTTTGCCGCTGAGCTAAATCCCCAGCCCCTAGACCCACCCTCTTAACACACAATACTGTTAGGAAGTAATCAGCAGTGAGGACTTCTTGTATTTGATTTCTTGATGATGGTCATTCTTTCTGAGGTAAGATGGAATCTCAGTGTTGTTTCCATTTTCATTTCTCTAATGGCCCACTATGTTGAACATTCTTTCATGTATTTATGAGCCATTTGTGCTTCTCCTGTGACATGTCTATTCATTTCATTTGCTCATTTTTTTCATTGGGTCTTTTAGTTGGAGAGGTCTATTTTTTTTTTTTTTTTAGTTCTTCATATATTCTAGATATTAGTCCTCTGTCTCTGGAATAGCTGGCAATATTTTTTTCCATTCTGTAGGTTGTCTTTTCACTCTGTTGGTTACTTCTTCTACTGTGCAGAGCTTTTTAATTTGATATCATCTGTTACTGATTGTTGATACTTCTTATGCAATTAGGGTTCCATTTAGAAAGTCCTTGCCTATGTCTATGTCTTCAAGAGTTTTACCTACTGTATTTCCAGAAGGTTAAGTGTTTCTGTTTTAATATTTATATCTTTGATCCATTCTGATTTTAGTTTAGCACATGGTGAGAGATGTAAGTCTAGATTCAGTTTTCTATGTGTGGATAGCCACTTTTCCCAACACCACTTAATAAAAATGCTGTCTTTCCTCAGTGTATGTTTTTGGTCCCTTTGTCAAAGATCGAATAGCTGAAAACACCTGGAGTTATTTCTGCATCCTCTACTCTGTTCCAGTGATGTCTGTTTTCGTGCCAGTGCCATGCTGTTTTTAATCACTGTAGCTTTGTAATATAACTTCAAGTCCAGCACTGTGTGTAGATTGGATTTCTGTGGCCTTCTCCATTGTTGAAATTCTCAAAAACCCAAACAACAACAATAAAAAGCACAAGAGAGTTACCTAACATGTTATTAAAATTTGGATATAAACTCAAGTTCATATAAGTCTCCCTAACGGTAAAGATGCTATTTGAGTTACAGTCACTGATTGCTATTGAAGTTAAAGATCACTACCCCAGAAAATTATTAGTGCAATTATTATTACTGCTACTATTTATAGGTTTGTTTTTTATCCACGTTGGTGTTATCCCTCTGCCCCAGTTTGTAAAAGTTTTTCTTGAACAATTAAAAAACTAACACCCTCCCTTGGCATTCAAGGTCCTTCCCCTCCAGCCCTCGGTACCTTTCCAGCCTTGCTTGCCCTGTACCACACACTTGTCTGTGTCCTTTCTTCCTTTTAAGCAGGAAGTTCCGGCTGCTTGGAATGTCCTTCCTCTCAGCTCCTCTTGGAAGTCTGCCCAAGTCACAGTCCACCTGAAATGTCTCGGCTCTCACTGCCCACTCCCTTCCAAAGGCAGTGTGGGGTTGTGAGGGACATATCTTCACGTCTCTCCCACACTCCTGCATTTCACTCCTGGCTTCTCTGCTTTCTCCTGTGGGCCCTGGAGCAAATTCCTTGGCTCCTCTTGGCCTCAGTCTTTCTCCTCTGAAATACTGTCGCTTGGCTATGCCTAGACCATCGGGAGAGAAGGAGAGTATGTTTACTAGCAGGTCACATATAACGGGTAGAGAAGGTATAGAGCAGTTCTTCCCATTGAGTTACTATGAGTTCTAACTTGAAAAAACTTGGACTGAGCTTGTCTTGTTGGACTGCTGGGAGCTTCTTTGTTATCTCCACAAGCCCTTTGGTCATTTTCCTGTTTCTCTATCCTCCCCTGGGATTGATGCTCCATCCAGGAAAGGCTGGGTACCTTGCCAGGGGCGAGACATCTAAGGATAACACAAGCTTTTTTGTTGACTTATAGCACTACTATTTTTTTTAAATCTCTGTACTCTGTAAAAACAGCCAAAGAGCATGAAAGTGAAAAGCAAGTTGCTAACAAAGAAAAAAACTATGTTTGCCTACAGATATGAACATGTCGCTCATGTTGGAATGGGGAAACAATATGCAGAGGGTCAGGATATTTAAAAAATTACAACTGAGTCATGAAAAAAAAAAAAACGATATTCACAGATTCTCCTGGTCCCCTTGCTCAGACAAGGAAGCCTGCCTTTGATCAGAGTCTTCAGTTTAGGTTGGGAATAAGAGAGGAGGAAAAATTAAAGACTGCAGGCCCGATCCACAGTGGGAAGCGAAGTGGGTTATTTAGGAGGAATCAACGGTGAGCGGCAGCTGAACAAGCAAGGAGTGAATCTGAGAGAGCTTAGGAAAGGTGGAGAAGGACAGGAGAAGTGAGCGTCTGGTGCACAAGGCGAGCCTGACAGAGGGGCAGGGAAGGGAGCCCAGGAAGGACAATTTTAAAGACTTTTCTTGAATACCATCAAGACCCATTTTTCTATTTTCCATGAATCCAAAAAGGATGCTAGTTGATTTCCAAAACTTCCTACTGCTCATGTGTTAACACGGACCCCCAGGATCCCCTTTTTCCGGCCTGTAAAAGTGAAGTACGCTGTGTCTGCCGGGGCCTGGGACATCTCCTGCGCAGGTTCGGTACCGCAGATCTCCCTACACGGTATACACAGGTCTCTCGAAGGTGCAGAGTGTATCTTAACTGTCTTCATTTTTGCGCCAGCTCCAGCTTAAGTCCCATCGGACTTAAAACTTTGTACAGTAAAAACTGTAGGAAGTAGATAATCAAAAATTGGCCTGAAATGAATGCATGGGTGATGAACGAATGGATTTGAACTCACAGGGAAACTGTGCTCATGAGGCTTCACTGGGGTTTCATCAGCAAGAGAGCAGCACTGTTCTTCTCCGCCACCGTGATGGACTCTGCCAGGGACCATGTCCCAGGTCCTCACTTTGCCCCGTACTTGCACCCCGACAACCACACCATAAGTGCTGGACTAATCTCTGTACCCTCTACAGTAGCATCTCAGCGTATAAGGAGTGCAGGAAAGCAAAACAGGCCAAGGCCAAACAGAGGGGAGCAGCACTGGCGAGAGCCTTAGACAAAGCACAGTGTCCGCTCACCCCTGGGTGGACCCTAAGACGGGAATCCCCAGCCAGTCCCCGGGAAAGCGAGCGGCCGCCCGCGCCGGGCTCTCCTCCGCGGCGGCAGGGGGCGCTGTGGCCGCGCGCCGCC